CCTCTGTTCGGTTGCAGGGCAGTCCGTCCGTTTTCACCGTCGCCGACCGTGTCTGCTCCTAATCCACAAGTCTCGTTCGTTCAGCTGGTAAGAGATACGTGTTTTTGGTCCTAGATCTGCTGGTCTTCGATTCATGTTGTTGGCTGCCATTGGTAGATAATTCGGACCCATAGCCTTATTGATTTTAAAAGTGTTGATCTGATGTTCTTGCTCTTGATCTGATGCTCTTTCAATTAATGTGGCCTGGCTGTCGAATGGTAGTAGTGTAGTAGGAAAAACTGATGGTAGTATGACCTGGTAGTATCGTAGGAGGCAGAACCGCTGGTCTTTGATTCTTCTGATGATGATTTGTGGTTCTGAGTACCCCTTTCCTGTTAATTATTTGTGACAAGCTCCGAAAAGTTGGCGTTTTTTTAGTTTGAAAATGTGAAGATTAGTGTTTCAATTAATGTGGCGCTTATTGTTGATGAGTATGTTTTACAAACCTAAATATATATGATTCTGAGGTTATAATTCATAAATATTATATATATTAGATATTTCCTCTCATATTTATTTACAAGAGAAACATAAAAAGAATTTTGAAACATAAATATCTGATATTTTTTAGGTGTCTGCCTCTTGGGAAGTTGTTTGTAAAGTGCCTCTAATTTAAGATTGTTGAATTTGTATAATATTTCTGCATTGTTTGAAGAAAAGTGCTCTGGTTCACTGTAACGCCCTTTTGCATTCTTGATTGACATTTTTCAATAGAATTATGAACAAAGATAAAGGTAAGGCAACATGAGATACAAGCACCACAGAGGTGTTACTTAAAGAATGCATAGAGCAAATCTACCGGAAAAATCGTCAAGAAACATCATTTTCAAAGACTGGGTGGAACAACATTCATTCTGCATTCAATGCAAAAACAGGAAAATCATATGAGAGGAAGCAATTGAAAAATAGGCTTGATAGCTTGAGGAAGGATTGGAGGACATGGGTTGATTTGAACAAAGAAACTGGTGTAGGTTGGGACCCTATAAACAATACAGTGGTGGCAACAAATGAGTGGTGGGAGAAGAAAAAACTGGTATATAATTGTTGATCTTGAGTTATGAACTGTGTTATTACTTGTTATAGGCTTTTTATTTTTGTTGATTGTATTCTTGCAGGAGAATCCCCAGTATGAAAAGTTTAGGTACCAGGGGTTAAAGTTTGCTCATGAATTAAACACGATATTCAAGGGTGTGATAGCATCTGGAGAGGATATGTTGGCACCGTCTTTAACCCAACCTCAGACACAAGAGGATGATGAAGAGAATGTGTACAGAGTTGATACAGATCTCCTTGAAGGATCGGGGGATAGCGAAGAAGATCTTGGAGGTGCTAGTATAGGAGTTACGGATAAGATGGTAGGCGTAAACTTAACAGCAAATACTGCACCTAGTGGTTCAGGAAGCCATGGGAAGAGGAAGAGAGGTGAAGGGTCTAGCAGGCAAACAAAGCAAAAACTTCTAGCCTCAAGACAAATAGCGGATTCAGTTAGTGAAATAGCTACTGCATCTAAGGATAGAGCTGCAACTCTTAAGAAAATAAAAGAGGTATCAATTTCTGAGGTTACGGCCGAAGTGCTCTGCCTTGAGGAAATTACAAGTGACTCTGATTTCCGGAACCGGTGCTTAAGACTTCTGTTGCACAAGAGTGTTCGGGAAATGGTTGTTTCACTAAAAGGACAGCCAGAATACTTGGTTGCATGGCTACAGGATATGGCATACAATCCACCATCATGGCTGAAACCCCCGCCTGCTTGAACTATATTTTAGGACGCATGTTATGATTTTATTTTGTCTAACTCGGACCAGAGTTGTTATTATATGTTTTTCAGTTAATGTTTGTGGAACTATGAAATTATGTAACTTGTTAACTGACTATGAATGTTTTGAATGTTTTTAAGTTACATGTGTTATTTATAATGGTAATTGCAGCTTATGAATGTTTTTAGACTAATTTTTATGTCTTTGCATGTATAACAGAAAGAAATATTTATTTGCACATACCTAAAAATATTTATTTGTCGTTTAAAAAAATTCTTACAGTTGAATTTAACCACACTCACAGGTGACATTATCTATGGCAAATTGGAACAATCAATTTACGTTTGAGTGGATGGAGGAAGATGAACAGTCTAAAGAGGAGTCGGAGGAAGATGAACAGTCTCAATTGATTTCCCTTTTAGATGAAGAGATAACACAATATGAAGAGGTAGCTGTATTGGTGAGTCAATATGTGATGCCTTATGTGTGCAAAGAGCCACAAAGAACTAGTCAGCAAATAGGTAATTTATGGGTGCAAGAAATTTTGCGAGATCATGAAATTCGGTGTTATGACATGTTTCGAATGGAAAAAGAAATGTTCATGCGATTATGCTCTAAACTGGTCGAACATGGTTTAAAAAATTCTAAGTATCTGGGAGTGGAAGAAATTGTTGGTATGTTTTTGAACACGGTTGGTCATGGACAATGTAATAGGATGATTCAAGAAAAGTTTCAACATTCAGGAGAAACTGTAAGCAGGCATTTTCATAGAGTATTACAGGCTTGCCTTAGTCTTTCCAGGGAATATATCAAACCACTCGATCCTACGTTTTCTGTAACTCACCCAAAAATAAAAAACGATAAACGATATTCGCCATATTTCAATGATGCAATAGGAGCAATTGATGGCACTCATGTACGATGTGTGGTGAGTCTTTCGAAGCAAGACAAATATATCGGGAGAAAGGGATATCCGACACAGAATGTCATGGCTGTATGTGATTGGGACATGTGCTTCACTTTTGTGTTAGTGGGATGGGAAGCTACTGCACATGATGCTCGTGTGTTTAACACTACTGTCTCAACTCCAGCCTTGGATTTCCCTCATCCACCTCCAGGTATATTTTCAGTAGCTTCAATTTTAATTATATCAAATTCATTTGATATTTTCATTAATTTCACAATGTCAACATAATTTCATGATTTATTAGGGAAGTATTATTTGGTCGATGCTGGCTATCCAACTCCACCAGGATATCTTGGTCCGTACAGATGTGAGCGCTATCACCTTCCAGACTTCAGGTGACAACCGGGATTTGAAAATTATAACGAAGTCTTCAATTACTACCATTCAAGTTTGAGGTGCACTATAGAAAGGACTTTTGGGGTGTGGAAGAATAAGTTTCGCATCTTAGATAAGATGCCAAGTTACAAGTATAAAACTCAAGTCCAAGTAGTTTGTGCTACAATGGCTATACATAATTTCCTCCGAAGAAATTCTGAAACTGATAGAGATTTCATAGAAGCTCAATCTGAAGGTACAATTGACGAAGACAATCATGATGAAGCTGGTGAGACATCCTCTTCAAATTTACCTAGATCAAGACAAATGAATCATGTGCGTGACACAATCAGAGACCAAATTGTATTGAGCGTGGCATCCAATTAGTTATTTGATGTATTTAGTTTAAAAATGCTACGTATGTATGACCTCTAATTTACATATTTATCCATTACATATATTTAATTAAGTTTTTTATTATTTTTCAATTTCCTTCTAGTAATAACTTAATTTTTTTTATTTTTAATAAATTTTTTTTCAATACTTCTTTTAAAATGGTCACATTATATATATAATTTCTTTATAATAATAAATTAAATTTCCTTATTTTTAATAATTTTATTTTCATTACTTTATTTATGACAAATAGTCACATTATATATATAATTTCTTTATAATACTAAATTAAATTTCTTTACTTTTAATAATTTTTATTTTCCTTACTTCTTCACTTTTAATAATTAAATATCTAATATTAGATATGTGCTATTTAATAGAATTCATGTCCTTTTAAGTCATTTTACATTCAAACTTACTTTTACATTTATCATCCAAACAAGTTTCAACTTCTCAAACTGACTTTTTTCTAAAACCCAATCCAAACATAAATCACATTACCCAATCTGACAAAAGTCAGATTGAAAAAAAAGTTACTTCTCCACCGCCAATCCAAACACACCCTAAAGCAGTTTAAATTTCGGGTTCTTTACCGGAGGGAGTAATTTTGAAAAAGTATAAGTGCATTAAATGTTACTGATCGAGTATTAAATACCAATCAATACAATTAATATGAATATTATATTATAGCAGGGCATATTCTGAAAATTTTGTCATGCAGCCGGAATTGTGTCAGTGTGTAACTTGGTATAATTTAAGTGCAGTGTGAACGGACCAAAGCCAGAAGCCCAGAACAATTTTATTTGAGCCTCAAGGCTTAAAATTTGTTATTAAAATAAAAAATTGTTTAAAACAGAAAAATTAAATTAAATTAAATATGAATACTTCAAAATCAATTTTTATGGTTCAGATTAAAATGAACATTTTGTGCCTTGTCTTTTTCAAGAGCATGGAATATTTTCTAGCAAAATTATTGTTCTCACTTTCTAGACAGTTAGAGCATAACTGAATGCCGATGGCATACACATAATCCTTACTTGAATTGCAGAATAACGATTTCATTTGAACTAAAAATTCAAATAAAACTTTTTTACTGGAAGCAAAAATTTGCCGCCGCTAAGACTTTTTATAAAACTTTGATTAATTTCGTCGATAGTAGTTTGAATTTTAAAAGTAATAAAAATTTAATTTTCATAATATAAGCAAGTGTACAAACAGCTTTTTTTTTCCCCTTTTAATAAGAAAAAGTGAGCAACATCAATATTTTACCTGGAAAACGGTGCGTTTTAAGTGAAGGAGGTACCGTAGGATAGGGGAAGAAGACACTCGCATTAAAATACAGCACCCCATATGACATTGCACCCGGACTCAGCTTTAAAATCCAGATTCGTGTCATGGTGTCCATCATTCAACCTCTCATCCACCCTCTCTCTCCCCATTATTATTGTCTTAGTTTCGATCAGTGCCTTAAAATTTCTTCTCTTCCCAAAACCAAAAGAAAGAGGCTGAGAGAAAATCATCATCACATGGCTGCCTCGTCGGAAACCATTTGTGTCACCGGAGCTTCTGGCTATATCGGTTCCTGGCTTGTAATGAGACTCCTCGAACGCGGTTACACTGTTCGAGCCACCGTACTCGACCCTGGTATGCTTTGCCCAGTATTCCCTCTTACTAATAATGACCTGAGATTATAAACAAGATTGAATCTGCGACCTCCCAGTTATGAAGAAACTTTCATGTCGCTAGCTAGACTATGAGTTTATTAACCCAGTAAGCTATAAGGCCGTTAGTGTACTACTCAATTTTTACCAATTTTTTTTTTCTGTTCTTATTCCATGGGACCTTCATCTATTTATTTTCTGAATCAGAACAATACTAGTACTTACAGTTTGAGGTTATAAGCGAAATCAAATCCGCGGCACTCCACTTGTTGTAAGGCAACTTACATGCCATTGACTAAGAGCTTTGTTTATTTGATATTTGCTTTTGCAGATAACATGGAGGAGGTGAAGCATTTGGTGGAATTGGGAGGTGCTGAGAAACAGTTGAGTATTTGGAAGGCAGATCTAAGGGAGGAGGGAAGTTTTGACGATGTCATAAGTGGCTGCACCGGAGTTTTCCATCTAGCCAACCCTATGGATTTCGAATCCAAGGATCCTGAGGTATTATATTCTTCCTCTGTTTTATTCTCAGGTATGCATAAAGGGTAATTTAAGAATTGAAGTGCCCTAAGGACATCTTTGACAAGCAAGAATAATATCATCATCCTTGACAAGGTCTCTTATCTCTTTATTACTTTATAATTTAGATAGTTAGATTAAGTAGGAAGAATTTTCATTTTTTGTTGTCGGAAGTTCGGTAAGAAGAAAATGAGAAAGAAATGAGAGTAACGACGTGAATATATATCTTATTAAAATATTCAAATATTTGAGTCTTCACAGTCATAGATATTATATATATATATATATATATGTAATATAGAAGGTGATAATAATGTGAAGAAAAATTTCGCTCAAATATTTATATTTTAAGAAATAAAGTTTTTTTTTAATTTTTTTTTTAGTTTTATATGATTAAACAGATAACACACGTAAACATGTCCACGTCAAGATAGAGCCTAAGACCTCATGAGTATTGCTATTATTAGGGCAATTTGCCGCTGATAATTAAAATTTTTTAGAACACAAAAGCACATTTGGGCCATTTGGCCATAGTAGCCATACATATTTTGTTTTATATATATATATATATATATATATATTGTAGGAAGTACTTTTTCTTGATCCAACATATTTTGTTTTATATATATATATATATATATATATATATTGTAGGAAGTACTTTTTCTTGATCCAATACGAACGAAGCTTACTTTTCTTTGTTGGAGATAAGAATAAATTCCATAGTAATATAAATAATGTGCACCAATCGCATCAAAAGGCTATTTTGCCCCCTCTATCTTCTTTTCTTGAAGCCCTTTTCGTACACTAAGCATGGTCTAAGTAGCGGCTTAATTACCCTGCATCAGTAAATTCCTCAATCTAGACGATATAATAATAATGGTGTTCTTCCTGATGGTTTTTAACTATCCCTTTATTTTTTTATCTTTTAACGTATTAACTTTAATAGCTATCATAACATTCAGGTCAAAAAGATTATCATAGTAGCACATCTTGTCAAGTCTTGGAACTTTTCCTTCATTTCCCCTCATTAGTATTTTGATACGCAATTACCAAATTTTTTACCGAAAGGTTTTCTGAATTCTGTACTAGGACATTGTAAATATTTTAATTTGTATTAAAATAAAAACTTTTTAACATGTCTAATCATCATAGGGAGTACTTTAATTTAGAAAAAAATAAATAAATATAGAAAAACAAAGTGAATTAAGATCTTACATTTAGAATTAAATTAAATCTTCAATTAATTTTTATATTTAAATATCATGTATGACCCTGATATTATGATAGGCTAAAAGTATATGATTAGTCCTCTACGTTTATAGGAAATTTAGTATAGTTCCTTAAGTTTAAAATATAATGCCTTTTAATCTCAACATAATTAGCCCCATTTAGTAGAAAATACTAATTCGCCAAATTTAAATAGTGACTTTACAATTAAATGCTTATAAAATATAATCTAATTTTTAATTCCTTATTATAATCATTTTATATTTTCAAATTTAAGCATGCTATACTAGCATTTATTTGTGAAGTTAATATTTTTCACTACATGAGACTAACATTGTTAAGATTTGGAACTAAAAATGTACTTTATAAATTTAGTAACCTAAATTAAAATTGGAAAAACTAATATGATAGTCCTTGTAGTTTCATCAAGTTTTGAATTGGATCCTTGTAGTTTTTTTTTTTTTTATTAAACCCGTATTATTTACACTGTTAATATTGTCAGTCCCTCCGTCAAGTGAGCCGTTAGTTTAAGCTAACTCCTCCTTCCTCTTGCTTGGTGGCACCATCTCCTATATTGGTTTCTCTCTCCCTTTCCCACTGTTCGTGATTTTACATCCTTTCCCTCTCTCTCGCCCATCATCATCTAACAATACTCTTCGCCTCGATGATAGTTGCCTGGCTAACATTAGATTCGCGCATTTAAACTTGATTTCAAGCACTGTCTTCAACGGGAAATCAACTCAAAATATTTCAACACAATATAATTGGGTTAAACATTAGTTAGCATTTTTCATGACCTTGGAAAGCCTCACTAGTTAACCTGCAAGTTCTCCATTCTTGCAAGATCTTTGCCCCCATATCCTCATAAAACTTGATGGCATTGACATTCCAATCAAGCAGGACCTACTCCACTCCTCCCTACCCGATCTCCATTGCTTGCTTGGCTACTGCCGAGCACATCATTTTCTCAAACCCTTTCCTTTTCTAACAATCTCTCACAAACAAATCATCGACATAGAATCTAATCTAGGCTTAGCGAGAAACATGGAGTGATTGGGAAAGAATAGTGCAAAATTGAACGTCTCCCTCTTCGGATCGGATACTCAATCAGAAGATCCAGATTCACAATCGAAACCGTCTGTTTGTAGAATGGATTGAAGGTTGATTCCAGCTCTAAAGAGTGTTATGTTATCCATGGCTCCATCGATTCGCATTTCTTTCATCTTCTACTTCTGCTGATTATGATAGCCCTTTCTGAAGCTCATATGATGCCCCCTTATTACCTCTCTAGAACTTGCCTTTGCGATTTGATGATAAAGTCGATGGCGTGCCCGAGTTGCTCGCCAAACATGGCTTTCGCAAGGGTCGTCTTCTCAATAATGTCAAATCCTGCAACGTCACTGATAATGGCATCCTGCAAGTCCAGCTTCAAAAACCTTGTCTGGTGTTCGTTAAAATGTCAAATACCTACTCGTGATTTTGATAGCCGCAAGAACAAAATTTTTCGAAACACAAGGTGAAGGTTTTACCAGAGAAGACAAAGACAATGACGGTGGAGAGAGAGGCCGGTAGAGGATCTGAGATTATGAATAGTGAGAAAGAGGAGAGAGAAGCCAATAGAGGAGATGATACCATGAAGCAAGATGAAGACGAAGTTAGCTTAAACTAACGGCTCACATTACGTAGGGACTTACAATATTAATAGGGTAAATAATAAGGATTTAATAAAAAAGAAAAAAAATTACAAGGACCTAATTCAAAACTTGATGAAACTATAAGGACTGCCATATTAGTTTTCCCATTAAAATTTGATATAAACTCAAAGAATCAAACTTAGCTTGTATATTTAGCCTGGTTCAATCGTTGGAAAATGTTGAATTCTTCAAATCATACATATGCATGTTTGTAGATATTTGGATAATTTCTTTATAAAAGATGAAATGATATTGGTAATTTGTTGTTTGGCAGTATTACCTTTTTTTTTAACATACATCCTCTAATGTAGGAGTTTTTGAAGGACTTTGGTTTAATCATTGCTATAAGATTCTATTTACTTCAGTTTGGCTATTAGATATATTAAATATTTTTTTTTCTAGGATACCCCAATTTATTGTGCCATTTTTTTCACTTGCTTAAATTTAAGATTCAAATTTAAATGATCAAAAGTCAACAGTCTAATTCAACGAAAGAAAGCTTTTGAAAATAATTAATATACTTCTTTTTAAATCCCAATAAATTAAATAAAAAAACCCCATACATATGGCATTGAATCAAGCTATAATTTTTGATGCAATATTGTTACGTTCTACTCTTTAGTTAATGGAATAATATCTAATACAAATGATTAAAAAGGGTACTTAATTAAAAAATCATTAATTTTTTTTTACGAAAAATTTAACTTAACTAATTTTTTAATATGTATAAATTAGTTATCTAGTAATTCTCACATTTATATGGATGGGATGATGCAGAACGAAGTGATAAAACCAACAGTGAATGGTCTATTGGACATTATGAAAGCATGCGTGAAGGCCAAAACTGTGAGAAGATTGATATTTACATCTTCTGCTGGAGCTGTGGACATTTCAGAGCACCAGAAATCTGTGTACGATGAAACATGTTGGAGTAACGTTGAATTTTGTCGTAGAGAAAAGATGACCGGTTGGGTCAGTATATTATTGTTTATTTGTATTTCAATTTCGTGTGTGTATAAAATATAAATAAAACCTAAAGATATTTATTTGGCAGATGTATTTCATTTCAAAGACGCTGGCAGAGCAAGAAGGATGGAAATTTGCCAAACAACACAACATCGATTTCGTCACTATTAATCCTACTCTTGTGGTTGGCCCTTTCCTTGTCAATTCAATGCCTCCCAGTCTTACTACTGCTCTCTCTCTCATCACTGGTGCGCTGTTGCTGCTGTTCAATTACGCATGCTTTTTTCTGACATCTAACATCCCACGCCATCTCAAACAGAATTATTTCTAATAGGATAGTATTTTTGTCTAGCAAAAAAAATTATGCATATATGTTTTTTTCTTTTGAATTCTCAGCTATATACACATAAATTAATTTTCTGTTTGACCAGCATGCATGGTAGCTTGTGGGAAAAAGAGGCATATGATGATGTGGGTGAAAGCAACATATTAACGTAGAACTAGCTGTGCAAGTAACCTTCATTGACAAATATGAGATTGACCATAAATTACCTTTATTTTATTAGTGCAAATAATCCTCTAAAGTTTTATTTAATATATATAGGTAACTCCTTAAATTTTAAGTCGTTGACAGACGCGCCATGTTATTTTGTATTTGTGCAATGGAATAAATTAATAACGACAGAGAAATTATTTACATCAATTTAAAAATTTAAAGAGATTATATTCATTGTCACCTTTATTTTTAATGCTAGGGAAGTCGTTTGCATATGCACATGCTCTTTAAAACTTATGTATAATCAATCTTATTTCTTTTAACTTCAACTTATTACGTAATTACTCCTCCGGTCCTTAATCTAAGACCCATTTAACTAATTTGATTAGATTAAGGAAGTTAGGTAAGTTAGTTAATTATAAGAAAAGTGACACATTTTTCCTAAAATACCATAATCATCTTTCTTAATACCCCCTCTCCCTCTTCTACTTGATTATCTCCCTCTTCGACTTCATTATAATCAAGGCAGTATCCATAAGGGTAATTTAGAGAAAATTGATAAATATGATAAATGAGTCTTATATTTAGGACCAAAACCAACTCAAGAATTGGGTCCTATAATAAGGACCGGAGGAGTATTACTTTTAAGAGTATAATTTAATTTGTGCTCCAATTGCAGGGAATGAAGCACACTATTCAATCATAAAGCAATGTCACTTTGTTCATTTAGATGATGTGTGTATGGCTCAGATATTCTTGTTTGAGAATCCAAAAGTCGAAGGAAGATATATATGCTCATCCCATGATGCCAATATTTATGACATTGCCAGGCTGCTTAATCAAAAGTACCCAGAGTACAAAGTCCCCACCAAGTAAAGTCCTTACTAATTTTTACCTTTTTCTTGTTATTCCATCTCACAAAAAATGTAGGGAGTCAGATAATTAGTTCTTATAATTTTTTAATAAATTCTTCATTTCACTTTTATTAATCATTTACTCTATTTGGTCCTTACTATAAGGACCTTTAACCACCTCACCGAAATGAAAGAGAGGTGGTTCAGTTGTTAATTTTATTTTAAAATACAATAAATTTCTGATTTCACCAATATTTAACTAATTTTGTTTTTAAAAAATTGTATTACATCTATCTCACTATGATGACTTTATATAGGGTGATATTGGGGGAAAAAAAAGAGTTACTATGTTATCAAGTGACCTATAATAAAGTTGGCAGAAGAAAATGATGTTTAACATTTATGACTTAAACAAACTCTTGAATTGATTCATAGATTTAGGATTGAAAGAATCGAGGTATAAACAATTATTCATGCACATGAACAAAAGAATGAATGAATCAATGATAGACTAGGTCTTAAACATGAACTAATGTTGATTTTGTAGGTTTGAGAATATGCCAGATGAGCTGGAAGTCGTGCAATTCTCTTCTAAGAAGATAAAAGATTTAGGGTTTCCGTTTAAATACAACCTAGAGGACATGTTCACTGCAGCCGTTGATACTTGCAGAGAAAAAGGACTTCTTCCCAAGCCTACAGAAACACCACTTAAAGGTACCACTGACTAAATGTATTGTTCTGCTGGTTTAGGATTTACAGCCTTGGCTCTTCAATTTAGGCTTTTTTCCCCTAAATTATGATTTTAGATATGTGTGTTGGAAATAAGAATGGTTTAACAGACGATAAATAATTGCTTTATTACCAGAGGTATGTATAACAGTATTGTGAAAAGCTTGTCTCACTCAATTTTACTCCATTTAAGGATGTTCTCTTAGCTTTATATATACACTTGTTAATATTTCTCTGCATTATGAGATTTGATTTTTAATCTAGCTTTTGAGTAATGCTGTCCTTGTGTCACGGTGCCATTTTATATATATTTTTCCATTAGCATCGGACTCCCCATTTTTTTACTATTATCTTTCACATGTTTTGATTCTAATTAATATATACGTATGTATGTTGTTTTTCCTAATAGACAATATAATGATATGATTCAACTGCCCCAAATACTCCTTTTACTGTACAAGAGTCACAAATCAATCACACTTTGACTCACTTTTGAATTGAAAACCATGTCTTGGGGTTAAAAAAAAACATAGTTTTCAATAATGTGATTTTTGTTTTTGGCTCGCGAAAGTATAAAATCATGATTTGAGACCAAATAGATTTGAGTCTTATATTTAGAATCAAATTGAATATCCAATTAGTTCTTATATTAAGCAATGAAGGTAATATTACTTAATTATATTTTTTCATATATCATTTATTATTTACAAATTTCTTATTTTAAACAAAAATATAAATTAAAATCTATTCTTACATAATTATCTATATAATTATCATATTAACTTATGTTATTTTTAGTAATTTATACATGAAAAAAATAATTCTCATAATAACCATCCAAGCATTCTCACTTTATTAAGATCACTTTTTTTTTTCTTTACAAAATCTATTCTCAAAATCCATTCTTCAAAAATCTATTCTTTATGAGATATTCTTTAAACCATGGTTTGGTTTTTATCTAGACACCCCCCGTAGAAGAAGAATAGAAAGAAACTCAAACAAAAAATCACTCAACAATTTTGACGCAAAGTATGATATATAAATGAAATTAAATCACACAGAAGACAATGGCCAAACAAAATACCATGTGTTCTTTTTTTTTCTTTTTAGCAAATGACATCATCCCTTAGTATTCACAGCTAATTTAATTTAAGTTTTTTTTATTATATATATAGTCACACACACTTGAGTACAAGATGAAATTGATTTTGATGAATGTCTTACCTTGCTTGCTTTCTTATTTAGTCAATCATTTGCTTTTCAATTTATTTGGGTGTTGAACTTGAATGAAATTTTCATATTTTTTATTTTTGTCAACTGATTTTTTAAAGAATAACTGGGCTATGGTGAGAAAATTTGGGCTGAAACATTAAGAACCCAGCTGAACATAAGGATATGAGTGGATCACACCATATACATACAGCCCTTCACGCGAGCTACTTCTTGAGCCCTTTGAAAGACCAAGAAGCAGGTCAGTATAAAAGCCCACGAGCCTTTTTTTTTTTTTTTGGCAGACACCCTGTGCTACTCCCAGCCAATAGCTAAAGATTAATCTTTCTGAGACATAGAGATCACCAGAGTAGGTTTCGCCTCTCCCAACAAAGCTTTTTTCATGCACATGGCCTGAACATTATGTTTAAAGGACCTAACCGTAATACAAAACTTGAATAAACTAAAGAAAATTTAATTTATTTTTTTAGGAAAAATGGCAAAAAAAAAAATACATGTTAAATTTCAATATGATAAATAGGTAATTTCAACAGATTTTGACACATCAAAATTATTACAGGAGTAGGAAAAATTGTTACAAGAATAATCAATATGACTTATTTGTTTTTTTAAAGTTTAACAGGTATTTTTCTTCTCATTTTCTTTTTTTTTTAATAAACACTTAATACATCTCCACAGATATTTTCCAGGGTGCTATCATTTTTAATTTCAGGTTTAATCATTATAATTTACATATTTATAATTGAGTTCTTATCTTCAAAATATTTTTTAACTTAATAATTTTTCATATTTTGACTTAATTATTTTTTTTTGTGAAATTTATTTTTATTTTGCATCAATACTTACCACTTTTGTAATTATAAATTATACACATAAGCAGTCAGTAAGATAATGGATAATTAATTATATTAACATCATATAATTAAACAAGAAAAAAGCTAAAGATGTACAGTTTTTAAATTTTTATAATATAAAAAATCAAATAGAGTGTTAAACAAATTTATAACATCAAAAGGCTATCGTGATACACTACGCCGATCGCTATTCATTAAATCAATAACGTTTCACCTCTTTTTTTCTTTTTTCTTTTTTTTTTGGGGGTGTATTTTCATGTTATAGCTTGCCCTTTAATATGGATAGGGAAAAAAGCAGAGCTTCGGCCAAGAAGTTCTCACAAAACGGAATGAAGTATCCTCAAAATATTTTATTTTTAATTAGTATGAGTTAAATATTCAGCATGTTATATGTGCCAACGTAATAAACTTATAAACGAATGATAATGTTTTAGATTTTCAATCAAAATAATATTACTTATAAGTTTTTATGTGCCAATGTTTCTTTCGATGTGGTCGCAAGAAGAATAAAGAAGCGAATATTTAAATTACTCGCAATAGGTAAAGGACAATGAGTGATCCCTAGTATCAAGTCTTTTATTAAATTAATCAAAATTCTTTCAAATTAGTTCATATATCAAAATTTAAACATTAAAGAAGAAATATATTTTATTTTTTAAAATGAAATAAAATAAAACAAGCTAAATATAATATTATTTTATCGTTGCAAAAAATTATATTTTTGATGTACAGTGCTTTTTTTTTTTTGGGATTGAGATGTATAGTGCTTTGATTGCGGAAAGCTACCACTACCATCACAATTTTGACCTCAAATGTTTTTTTTTTAAAAAAAAGAACTACTAACCCCAACACATAACATAAATGCACACTACTATAAAAAAGATTTTTCACGATGCTAATTTATGGTGGTCATAAAAAAAACTGGAAAAAAAATATGACGGTAGTATTTTTGTAATTATAGGGAAGTAAATTTTACTTTTTACGGCTATTATCTAGAAAACTTGAAACATCCTTCCTTTAACTCCTCAGAGTATGCGCTTGGAAGCATTACGGTTCAAATGATTCATGAAACAAGCCCGTAGATTGAAAATTTACAATTTGGTTCTCGAGTTACTATTTACTGTTTAAATTTCATATTACAGGTCCAACTTCAAAAATCATAATGAATTCTATAAAAATCATATTAAGGTGCTCCAAAATTCTACTCGAAGCCTCTTTCAATTCTCTATAGGAAAAAATTATGAAACTGGACTTATCCTTGCCCAATTCATACAGTTTATTCCTTAAACTTTACTGTTCATTTAGTCAAAACTGTACGTTTTGGTTTCTCTGCCCTAACTTTGACCAAGCATAACTCTTAGCACACATATCCAGTTTAGGTGATCTACCACTTGTTTTAAAGATCAAGATGTTTACTTTAACCATACCAAATTTCATGGCTTAACTCATACATGTGATAGGTCAAACTGGAGCTGAAAGCTGACTACTCGAGGACCTACGTTTTATCCATTAGACAATTCTTGCTTTAATTCTTTTTATTGTTTTGGCACGCATAGCTTGTCTTTATTCTTTCCCATTCATTCTTATATATTTCCATTCATGCCATAAACATTCTAAATAAATACATTGCATCATTGGCATTCATATACATAATTTACATAATAGGAGAATTATACATTAATCAAAAGCTTCATTCATTAACATGAATAATTCTCCACTTTCTTCTCCTTCCTTCTCATGCTCTCCTTCATGCAATCATTGTCCATCATATTTGACCTAAATAGTTGGTTAGAGAGGGGTGAGATTCAGGAGAATCTCAATAGCAAATAATAACCACCCAAACATATATGGCAAGCTTGGTATTTATAACATACTTGCAACTTAACATTTCTATAACATGGTGGCATGTTTGGTAATCATCATGCATTAACTATAAAACACATAGGCCTATGACACATTTCAAACATATTCACAATCACAATGCATGAGTTCATAAAACCATATAAACACAGAACATGTCATACATGTAAGCAAATACCAAGCACATAAGAGTAGGATAAAGTTTGCTATCTTGTGTTTTTAAACTTTCTCTTTACTTTCTCTTGCTCCCTTTGCTACTGTAGAGATATTATAGGAGATATTATAAGATATGTAAATATCCTGTAATTAGTATATAGGATACGATATGATATGATTTCATAGTAATGAGCCATTAATACCTAGGCTCCTCTATTGTATATAAATACCCAATCGAAGTATCAATAAAATACACAATTTTCATTCTCTAAATTACATGGTACCAGAGCAGGTTTATTAGGTTAAAAAAAAAACGTTTTTTTCCGGTTCGTCCAGCGTCCCTGCACTGTTCACCGTCCCTACACTGTTCACGGAACTCCAGCCTCCCGTCCTCTACAGTGCACATGCGCCGGTCAACGGAGGTCGCAGGGTCCCGATCGATCAACCATCGGAGTCTTGTTGCCGTCTGAGCAGCGTGTGGCCTTCACGCGCCGTCACCCTCCGCTGCTGCACTGTTCACGCGCCGTCACGTCGCAGCGTTTTTCCGGCGTCTTCTCTCATTTTCCGGCGTCGTCGCTTCTGTTCTGACCCTTCCCTGCCGCTTCTACTTCCTGGGTCCCATTATTTGGTGTGATTCAGAGCACTTTTGGCTTCCTGAGAAAGCGTTGGCGCTCTGGTTTGTGGAATTCTAATCTACTTTTTATTCTGTGGTCCCTAGTGTGATCCATTTGACTGATTATGTTGGAAATTGTGCCCTAGGGGCCAATCATTATGTTTTGAACATTGTTAATTTATAAATTTATTAATTACGTTATCATATTATTTGCATGTTTATTGTGATGACTATCCTTGGATAACTCATGGTTTATCCTAAATGTCCCTGGTCGGTCATCTATGTGGCAGCAAAGATGAAATAAGACCAGTATGACTTTAAAGATATATAGAGATATAAATTAAAGTCATAGGCACATGTAAGAGTACAAGG